AGGACGTCCTTCTTCACCCAAAGAGTGATTAACACTTGGAATTCACTGCCACAGGAAGTGGTGGGTGCTACAAGCATGGATGGCTTCAAAAGGGAATTAGATAAGCATATGGAGCAGAGGTCCATCAGTGGCTATTAGCCACAAGGTATAGCTAGGGGCTCTGGGGCAAGTGATGCTCTGTCTTCTTGGTGCTTGGGGGGGTCAACAGTGGGAGGGCTTCTAATGTCCTGGCCCCACTGCTGGACCTCCTGATGGCACTGGTATTTCTGGCCACTGTGTGACACAGAGTGTTGGACTGGATGGGCCTTTGGCCTGATCCAACATTGGCGTCTCTTATGTTCTTATGTTCTTAAGGCGATGGGGAGCCACCTCTTCTTCCTGCTGGCCTCGAAAGCCCTTTTTGTGGAGGTCGCCATAGGTTGGCTGCCACTTGACAGAAATGTGCAGACATGCGCACGTGTATATGTATTTATAGTCTGCCTTCCTTGCTCAAGATGGATTACAGGGCATAAACAGCACCATCAGGCAGGATAAGGGAACCAGCGAACGATGCAAGAGGACCAGGATCAGGGAATTATCAGAGAACAGTGCAAAGAGCAAGCGAAGGCAAAGTGATGCTATTACAAACAATGCAGAAAGTGGGTTACGGCGCACGAGGCAAACGCCAACCTCGAACTTAGGGCTCCTGGGTGACTTTTTCTTATCCATTACCCACAGTCCTCTGCCTTATTGATGCAAGAGGACGAGGATCCGGGAATTATCAGAGAACAGTGCAAAGAGCCAGCGAAGGCAAAGTGATGCTATTACAAACGATGCAGAAAGTGGGTTACGGCGCACGAGGCAAACGCCAACCTCGAACTTAGGGCTCCTGGGTGACTTTTTCTTATCCATTACCCACAGTCCGTTTGAATTGGTAGTCTGGGGTCCTCTGCCTTATCCGGTCCTGGAGAAGTTTGCCCCCCCCCCCTGTACCCCTGGGGGGAGAAGCGTAGTCACAGAGTCCCAGCTGATAAAGCTGTCTTGAACTTAGGCAGAACCAAAGGGAAGGATCCGGGATTGTGCCCCTTCACGGTGCTGGTGGCGGGAATCTTTTAAAAATGGCTCTGAGTGGATTATTCCCCCCCCCCCAGAGATGAGGATGGAAACCAGTATGGTGTACGGGTGAGAGCTGGGGTCCCCTCCCACTGATACCTTACCTGATGCCCAGTGTTTCTAGAGATTGGAGGGGGCCCCCTCTGATCGGCCATTGGAGTTCTGATGGGCTTTACAGATTAAAACGGCGTTGCTTCAGCAGCAGCTGCCAGTTTGGTGTCCTGGTGAAGTGCGCGGACTCTAATCTGGGAGAACCGGGTTTGATTCCCCACTCCTCCACTTGCACCTGCTGGATGACCTTGGGCAAGCCAAAGTCCTTGAAAAAGAGCAGTTTCTGTCAAGAGCTCTCTCAGCCCCGCCTGCCTCACAGGGTGTCTGTTGTGGGGAGGGGGAGGGAAAGGAGATTGTAAGCTGCTCTGAGACTCCTTTGGGTCGTGAAGGGCCATGGGGCATAAATCCAATCCCTTCGGCTTCTAAAGGGGATTGGTGTTCTTTAGAAAGAGGCAGAACTTTTGCCCGTCCATCACAGCCAGTCACTCTCAACCTAACCTACCTTAAGAGCCAGTTTGGTGTTGTGGTTAAGTTTGTGGACTCTTAATCTGGGAGAACCCGGATTGATTCCCCATTCCTCCACATGCAGCTGCTGGTGTGACCTTGGGTCAGTCACAAGTTCTTTCAAAGCTGTTCTCTCAGGAGCAGTTTCTGTCAAGAGCTCTCTCAGCCCCACCTACCTCACAGGGTGTCTGTTGTGGGGAGGGGAAGGGAAAGGAGATTGTCAGCTGCTCTGAGACTCCTTTGGGTAGTGAAGGACGGGGTATAATTCCAATCTCTTCTCTTCTTCTTCTCTGTCTCGTTCATCTTTCCAGTCTATTTCCCCTGGACTTCCTCTGGTTGTGTGTGTGCCTCCTGCAGCGGCCATTTTGTGGCTGCACCCACCACCCCGTATCACAATTCAAAAGATTCCCATGGGCTTGAAAAGGCTGGGGAGCCCTGGGTTCGACTCTGTGACTAGACTCTGGAAGACTTTGGTTGTACTCTCCAATCTGTCATAAAGCTTTCTGGTGACCCTGGAACCAACTGCTCTCCCTGAGTCTAACCTCCCTCACAGGAGATGGATCAAGATGGGTAGCCATCAATGCTCCCTCTAAGCTGTGGAATCCTGTTGGCAAAAATTCTACTTTGTGAGCTACTGGCATTAAAGAGCGAGCGATTTGGCTGCTGCATAAATCAGTTTGCTCTGGGGCCATCCTTCCTGAGCGGAGACAAAAATGTCTGAGCTGGAGGTTAACAAACTGTGAGCTGGCTCACACTAACTCAACTTAGAGGGAACACTGGTAGCCATGTTAGTCTGTCTGTAGCAGCACCTGAACGGCTAACAGTGCTTGTGGCAGGGGAGGAGCTTTTTTGAGTCACTGCTCATTTCTTCAGAACTGAAGAAGAACTTCTGAAGAACTGGACTCCTGAAGAAGGGAGCAGTGTCTCACGAAAGCTCCCACCCTGCTACATCACTGGCTTTTGGAAAGGGAAAATGAAGGGTGAATCGTGAACACCACAAGGAGCTCCTTGGCAAAAGGCTGTGATCAAAAAATATGATAAAAAGCCATTTTTCCCTCAGCTCGTCTGAATAAATTCTCAGCCAGAGAACTGGAACATCTGTTTGCTTGCGATGCCCTTTCGGTGTGTACATGATGGGGTTTCTCTCATTTCCAGGCGACAGGCCGCACGGCCCTAATGGAAGCGGCGAGGGAAGGCGTTCTGGAAATCGTCCGGGGCATCCTGGAAAGAGGCGGCGATGTTAATATTTTTGACAACGAAAGACACCACGCTGCACATTTTGCGGCCAAAGGAGGTTTTTTTGAGGTATTCTTGGTTGGTGGTGCAAAGGTACCCAGAAGAAAAGGTACCCAGTTCCTCGTTGCGGGGTGGAGTGGGGTGTCAGTTCGTTTCTTGTTTATAAGCACCATTCGGGAGTGGTTTCTTTTCCACTATGAAAGGGATCCCAGAAACGCTTGTGCCCCTTAGTCATACCCAGGGGTCCTTTCGTAGAAAAAGAGGTGCAGGAGCTCATTAGCATAACTCATTAGCATAACTTATTTGCATATGCCACACACCCCTGACGTCACCGTCGGAAGGCAAGCCCACCACTCAAGCTCCACTGGACTGTTTTGGACAGCTATTGGGGGGGGGGAACGTGCAGATCTGCCCTCGCAGAGGAGGGAGAGCTTGTACCTGAAGGTGGGTCGGGGGGGGGGGGCTCTGCAACTTACCTGGCTGCTTCTTGCTCCTTGTGGCCCAACTGAGGACTGCTGGGAGTAGGGCGTGGTGGGGCTTGTTGCATGTGCCTGCCCCCTGGGCTCCTTACTGCCAGAGCTCTGCCCCTGTGCACTCCAGCAGGAAGTGACCCCTGGTTATAGCAGGTACTCATTTGCATATTAAGTGACACACCCCTAATGTAGCCAATCTTCCAAGAGCTTACAGTAGCTCCTGTAAGAAGAGCTCTGTAAGCTCTTGGAGGATTGGCTACATTAGGGTGTGTGGCCTAATATGCAAAGGAGTTCCTGCTACAAAAAGAGCCCAAATGTCAAAAGGCAGGTGCTGGTGGTGGAAACAATTCAGAAGGTGGAGGATTCCTCCACCCCGGGGCCTCATTTCCAGTTGTTCAAATGGAAATTTTGGAGGGGAGCACTGTAAAAAATATTATAAAATATATTTTTGGTTGACATGAATGAAATGCTTTTTATGACAGGTCTTTATTCTCTCAAAATGCGTTGCATAAGAACGTAATGACTCCCCCCCCCCCAGTTTTTCCAATAGAAATGTCAAAGGGCATTTTTAAAAAGTCTACGATTCCTCCCTCCCCTTTGGAATGAGTAAAATGTTTTTAAGAGAAGCTTTTGCCCACACAGAGTGTATAGCATGAAAACACCCGAGGACTTCTTTTCTGTTTTTCCACTGGATAAACCGGGAAGCCTTGGGGGAAATGGATTTGTCTTTTCCGCTTGCCGTGAATGAGACGTCCTGAAGATTGCAGAGGGTACAGCGGTTTGCAGCTCTCTCCCTCTCTCTTTCGTCTTGAGTATATCTGCAATTTTGCTGGTAGAGAACAAGCAATTAGTACTTTCCCATAAATACGCCGGTGGATAAAGTTCTGTCTGCTGACCGAGTTATAAATGATGTGTTTTATGTTGTTCAAGTGACAAAATGGGTTTAGGTTTGATAGGAAAGGAAGGATGGGACATGTTTCCATCCCCCTTCCCATTTTTCAAAATGGAAAAGCATTTTCTACGGCTTCCTAATGTAGAGAAGATTTATACTGCTGGTCATATCACATATTTTTGAGGATGAGTCTTTCAACAAATATATGGACACATGAAGCTGCCTTAGACTGAATCAGACCCCCCCTTGGTCCATCAACATTCAGCATTGTCCACTCAGACTGGCAGCGGCTCTCCAGGGTCTCAGGCGGAGGTCTTTCTCATCACCTCCTGCCTGGTCCTTTTAACTGGAGATGCCGGGGATTGAACCTGGGACCTCCTGCATGCCAAGCAGAGGCTCTCCCACTGAGCCACGGCCCCTCATTACAGCTCTCCAGGGTCTCAGGCCGAGGTCTTCCTCATCACCTACTACCTGCTACTTTTAACCGGAGATGCCGGGGATTGAACCTGGGACCTCCTGCATGCCAAGCAGAGGCTCTCCCACTGAGCCACACGGCCCCTTCCCTTGATGCCTGAGGATGCCTCTCCTGTGCTGTGTCTCCCTTCTCCCGTGCCCTGGAGAGTTTTGTGAGTGTGCACCTCCTGTGCTTCATGAAGTTAGGCAAACTCTGGAGGACGACGGAGGACAGGAGGGCCTGGCGTGATGTGGTCCATGGGGCCGTGAAGAGTCGGACTCAACTGTGCGACTGAACAACACCCCTGCTCGTACTCTCCGTTCTCCAGGAGAACCAAGAGCAGATGTAAGCAGTGGCTGGCCAACCCCCAAGGCCACTCTGGTCTTGGTCAAGCTCGAGCTCCACCCTGTTGGGTTCTGATCGGGCCTCTGGACCAGAGGAACCAGCCTGGACAGAAGGCTTAAGGGATCCACTGGCCGTACCAGTTGCGGCTTCTTTAAACCCATCCGCAGAACTGTGCTGCCACTCAAAGAAGAACGGCTGATGTGCCACAAAGCACAATCTGTCACATGGGTGCATCAAGCCATGGGAAGGGTTTTTTAAAAAAGCCATTTCTAATGCTGATTAAAGACGCGGAACTGAATTAGGACGAAAGTGCATCCCGCGGCTCGGATCCTGTGTGCGCAAGTGGAAATACAAACGGACTTAGAATCTCTCAAGCAGCCAGGACTCTGCAACAACTCTAATCGCTTTCACACACTCCCAAACACAGTCCTCCCACAAAATATCCTCAGCTGAATCCCCTCAGCTGAAAGCAAATAAAAAAACAATCACCCCTCTAGCAGCTCTGTCTCCTGCTCCCGCTCAGAGCTCAGCTGGGTCTTCCTATGTAAGTCACCCAAGATGGGATACAATAAACCCAATTCGGCAGCCAGCTGTCTCAATAGCGCAGTCACCCACAGCGCTGTTCTATGCGCTTCTGCCAGGCGATGCTTGCATCCCATGATAGGGGCTGATGATGGAGGACTACCACGATGGTGGGATAGTGGCGGCGGTGGCTGCTACTCAAAAGCCTGGTGGAAGAGCTCCGTCTTACAGGCCCTGCGGAACTGCACAAGGTCCCACAGGGCCCAGATCTCCTCTGGGAGCTCATTCCACCAGGTATAATTATAAAATTATGCATGGGGTGGAGAGAGCTGACACAGATAACTTTTTCTCCCTCTCCCCAAAAACTAGAACTCGAGGGCATCCAGTGAAGCTGGTGGGCAGTAGGTTCAGGAGGGACAAAAGGAAATACTACTTTACACAGAGAGTGATGGAAATGTGGAATTTGCAGCTTTAAAGGGGGGACTAGATGGATTCATGGAGGATAAGTCTCTCCATTGTTCCTAGCAGTGGTGACTGAGGGGAACCTCCACACTCAGAGGCACTGATCCTCTGAGGCCCAGAGCGAGGAGGCAACATCAGAGGAAGGCCTCGGCCTCTCTGCCCTGTTGTTGGCCTTCCAGAGGAACTGGCTGGTCACTGTGTGAGACAGGATGCTGGACTCGGTGGACATGTGGTCTGATCCAGCAGGGCTCTTCTGGTGTTCTTATCAGGTGTTCTTATCAGGGGAAGGCCTCGGCCTCTATGCCCTGTTGTTGGCTGTCCAGAGGAACTTGCTCGTCACTGTGTGAGACAGGATGCTTGACTACATGGACCACTGGTCTGATCCAGCAGGGATCTTCTGATGTTCTTATAAAGACCTCAGTCTCTCTGCCCAGTTGTTGGACCTTCAGAGAAACCTGTTGGCTGCTGTATGAGACAGGATGCTGGAGTAGATGGACCACTCCAACATGGTCCAACAAGGCTTCTCTTATCCAACATGGATTCTCTTATGTTCTTAAGACTTGCAACATGAGGGTTTTGGCAGGGAACCAGATTATGGTGGTAATCAAGGAAATCTAAGAGAGGTTCTTATATTGTGAGCAGTGTTCCCCCTAAGCTGAGTTAGTGTGAGCTAGCTCACAGTTTCTTAGCCTCCAGCTCACAGATTTTTGTTTTAGCTCAGGAAGGATGGCTCCAGTGCAAACTAATTTATGCAGTAGCCAGATCGCCCGCTCACAACTTTAATGCCCATAGCTCACAAAGTAGAATTTTTGCTCACAAGATTCCACAGCTTAGAGGGAGCATTGATTGTGAGAAAGGAAGAAAAGTACTTCTTTCTCTACCTTTTCGGTCCCCTGCATAACTTTGTGAACCTTTGTCATGTCACCCCTCAGTTGTCGTTTCTCCAAGCTAAAAAGCCCCAACCTCTTTCACCTTACTTCGTGTTCATTCCCCCAGCCTTCCACGTTGGATACAGTAGGGGACTCCTGATAAGGCCAGATGTTCAGTGCAGTAAAAGTTCTGCCATTTCTGTTTCAGAGTTTCCTATCTGTCAGATATTCCCTCTCCTGCAGTGGTAGCTGTTAAATTGTTTAAAGGTCCAGCCAGTAGCTACAGTTTTGCTCCTGAGGAAAAATAAGATCCACTTGACTGCAGGGGCAGATAATCGGTTTTTAAATGTGATGAAATTGACTTGGCTTTCCTTAGATCCTGAAGATTATTTCTGCTTACGACGGAGATGTGGGCCTCATCGCCATGAATGGAAACACCCCCCTTCACTATGCGGCTGCGGGGGGCTTCGCGGAATGCTGTAAATTTATCGGGCAAAGAGGTGAAGATGGAATGCGGCAATCTCTCTTTTTCTGTCTGTCTGTCTGTCTGTCTTGGGTTTCCTGACCTGGGGAACAAGAAACAATTGCAGGGGGTGATGTGAAAGAACTTTGTCCCAAGACCTCGGAGAGCAGCTGCCAGTCTGAGTAGACAATACCGACCTCGATGAACTGAGGGTCTGATTGAGTAGGAGGCAATCCATGTCTTTGTGCATGCCCTTTCAGAACTAGAAACTATGATCTCTTTATTGATTGTTAATAGTCTACCTTTGCCACTGAGACTTAAGGCAGATTACAGAAGACGATCGACTGATTGATCGATGTAAAACATTTATTAGTCCTCTTCTTTCCTTACAAACCTACATAGAATAAAGTACATAGTTGTGAGCAGGTGATTTGGCTACTGCATAAATCAGTTTGCTCTGGAGCCCCATCCTTCCTGAGCTAAGACCAGAATGTGTGAGCCGGAGGCTAAAAAACTGTGAGCTGGCTCACACCGACTCAGCTGAGAGGGAACACTGCTGCTACTAGCCCTAACCAAATGCAGTCCAAGATGAAACTGCCTTCAACTGCCTCCTGAAGACTGAAGGTGAGGGGCTGCCACCGAAGAGGCCGTCTCTCACGTGCTGACCAGGGGAGCTGCTTTGATGGATGGGGCAGTCGCCCTGTGATCCCAATTCCCAGGCAGGAACATATGAGAGGAATTCAGTCAAAGCGCCAGTGGGTGTTTCCCCATCAGTGCCTCTCTATTGGGTTCCTGCATGGATTCGGACTAGCCAGTTTCAGCCAGTGCCTCCCAATAGCCATGCACGTAGATTCTGCCCTTGCAACAGCCTGGCAGAATTTGGGAGAGGGAGCCACTGCTTGGTTCCCCATAGAAGCTTTGGACTGGTGGTGGAGGTTGACCCCCAGTCACCTCTCTTATAGAATCATAGAGCTGGAAGGGACCTCCATCTAGAGTCTAGCCAGTGTCAGCCAGTGCCTCCCAATAGCCATGCGCGTAGATTCTGCCCTTGCAACAGCCTGAATTTGGGTGAGGGAGCCACTGCTTGGCTCCCCATAGAAGCTCTGGACTGGTGGTGGAGGTTGACCCCCTGTCACCTCTCTTATAGAATCACAGAGCAGGAAGGTGCCTCCAAGGTCATCTAGTCCAACCCCCTGCACAAGGCAGGAAATTCACAAATACCTTCTCCCCACAACCCCAGTGACCCCATTCTGTGCCTAGAAGATGACAAAAAAACCTCCAGGATCCCTAGCCAGACTGGCCTGGAGAAAAACTGCTTCCTGACTCCAAAGTGGCAATCAGCATTTCACTGGGTGTGTAAGAAAGGGCCATGAGAACTAAGAGATAAGAGATTGGATTTATACTCTGCCCTTCACTCCCCGAAGGAGTCTCAGAGCAGTTTACAATCCCTTCCCCACAACAGATACCCTGCGAGGTAGGTGGGGCTGAGAGAGCTCTCTCGAGAACTGCCCTTTCAAGGACAGCTCTGAGGGAACTTGTGACTGACCCAAGGTCACACCATCATCTGCATGTGGAGGAGTGGGGAATCAAACCCAGTTCTCCCAGATTAGAGTCCACGCTCTTAACCACGACACCAAACTAAGCACTGAAGCAACCCGTCCTGCCCTCCCTCTCATGATCCACTTAAATTCACAGAATCGGCATTGCTGTCAGATGGCCATCTAGCCTCTGCTTGGAAACCTCCCAAGAAGGAGAGCCCACCACCCCCTCCCAAGAGGAAGCTTGGAGCTTTCCTCCAGCTTCAGGTGCCTCACACACGAAACACTTGCATTGGTGGAAGAGCCACTTCCATCGGAAAGCACTGAAGCAACCGTCCTGCCCTCCCTCTCACGATCCACTTAAATTCACAGAATTGGCATTGCTGTGAGATGGCCATCTAACCTCTGCTTGGAAACCTCCCAAGAAGGAGAGCCCACCACCCCCTCCCAAGAGGAAGCTTGGAGCTTTCCTCCAGCTTCAGGTGCCTCACACACGAAACACTTGCATTGGTGGAAGAGCCACTTCCATCGGAGAGGCTGAAGATGACTCGAGTAATAGTTTCTCTTGCTACAGGTAGCAGGGAGTTCACTGGCTGCATCCATACACCGTTGGCTATTGCATATTATCATGCTAGAAGACCAATAACTGCTGGGGTTTTTTCTGTATGGGCAAGGCAAGCCGACTGTGAACGGTTGCTGTAGTACAATAGTCCCTCTACGATAGATTGTGCAACTTCTGTTCTGGTTTAATGACTCTTGAAGACGTGGTGCTGCCTTCAGCTGAGTCAGGCCCTTCCTCCGTCGAGGTCAGTATTGGCCACTCGGACTGGCAGCCACTCTCCCCTGGTTTCAAATGTTTGCCACCCCCTGCGTCCTGATCCTTTTAACTGGAGATGCCGGGGATCGAAACTGGGACCTTCTGTCGATAAAGCAGATACTCTGCCACTGGGCTGTGCTCCCTTCCTGACAGAATGAGCACTTGGGGCTGCCTGATCGTGAGTGGAACTCGCTGGTCTCTCAAGCTCAGTCTTGTCTGCTTTGTCTGATGGCATCTCATCGGGGTCTCCGGTCCAGCCTTTCACACCACCTACTACCTGAGCCTGCTTACCGGAGATGCCAGGGACCGAACCGGGGACTTCCTACAGGACGGGCAGGGGCTCTCCCATTCGGTCGTGGCTTCTCCTTTATCGTCCCTTCTTTGAAAAGCTTCTGTGCTGGCCGGAGACAGAGCGAAAGGCAGAAACAGCCGTGCCACTCTCCTTCCCGGAAGCTGAGGGGCCAGGAGAGGTTTGCCAGGAAACCTGGGGACTGGCAGCTCTTCTGTTTGTTGGGTTGCATTTACTTATTATTTCAGTTTATATACCGCCCCTCCCCCACGAAGTGGGGCTCAGGGTGGTTCAAAGCGGTATAAAAACAAAGATAATGAATATAGTTAAGAACATAAGAACATGCTCTTAAATAAAGAACTGGCGGTCTTGAAGCAGCAGCCGGACAAACCCTTGTCAGGGATGTTCTCGGCTGATTCTGCATTGAGCAGCAGGTTGGACTAGGTGGCCTCTGTGGCCCCCATGCCAACACTGTGATTCTAAGACTATCGGAGAGGCCATGCTGGATTAGGCCGAGTGGGTCACCCAGCCCAACACTCTGAGACCGATTTCACACAAGGGCTGCGCCGCGGTCACACCTCCCTTTGTCCCACTTCCATGGGTCAATTTCCCTCTCAAAGCACTGCGGCTGCATTTTGACCCGCATCTTCACCCGATTTTCCCCGCAGTTTCGTGATCCTTAAAAAAAACCAGAATCCCAAAACTGCGGGGAAAATCAAGCAAAGCTGCGGGTCAAAATGGGGCCGCGCGGCTTCGAGTGGGAAATTGACCCATAGAAGCGGGGCAAAGGGAGGCGCGACGGCGGCGCAGCTCTTGTGTGAAATCGGTCTCTGTGTTTTCCCACAGTGGCCAAAATCCAGGTGCCATCAGGAGGTTCAACTATACTCTTTATAGTCAGAGCAGTAGTAAATACCAAATATAAAAAGCAAACAATTGACAGTGGATAGTGGTGAAGCCAACATTAAGCCCCCCAAATACACTTAATTGAGAAAGACCTGAAGAAACGCTCATCCTGACAGGCCCTGCAGAACTTGGGGGGGGGGATCCCACAGGGCCCGGGTCTCATCTGAGAGGGGATTCCACCGGAAACTAGGGCTACAACCGAAGAATGGTGGATTCTCCCCTGGTGGATGCCAAATGTGCAACCCAAGGGCTTGGCACCACCAGTAGGCCACAAGATGACCCGCTGCTGCTCGGGGGGGGGGTCATGAAGGGAGAGGTGGTCCTTCAGGTATGCTGGTCCCAGACTGTTTAGGGCTTTAAAGGTCAAAACCAGCACTTTACATTTGACCTGGAGACCAGGGTTGCCACTCACCTTGTTGGGACTTACAAAGAGGCAAGTGTGGGACGTGGCACGGCACAGAGTGCCCTTCCCTTGGCAATTTAACACCGTTGGAGTAGTTACTGTGTGTCTTCCAGCAAATATATGGCCAGGCCTGAGGTGAGCCGTATTTTGGCTTTCTATGCATCAGGACTGATTACACTTGGATTTTATCTAATTATGTCTCAGCCTCTACTTCCTGCTTTTCATGGATTTTTTGATCTTGTCCTGTTCTATATTTAAAAACCTTCATAATCTCCTGTATAAACATCTCCCTAATGAGGGCCTACCACATGCATCTGTTGAAATAGATTCTAGTCCATGAAAGTGATTTCTGGAATGAACATTTCAAGGTGTCACCAACTGCTGTTTTGTTAAGAAGCCCAAGAGTAATAAAATAAAACAATACAAGAACTCGTGGGCACTCGATGAAATTGCTGAGCGGTCGGGTTAGAACAGATAAAAGGAAGTACTTCTTCACCTAAAAAGAGTCATCAACACATGGAATTCACTGCCACAGGAGGTGGTGGCAGCTACAAGCATGGACGGCTTCAAGTGGGAATTAGATAAACCTATGGAGCATAGGTCCATCAGTGGCTATTAGCCGCAAGGTACAGATAGGAACTCTCGGTCTGGGGCAAGGGATGCTCTGTATTCTTGGTGCCTGGGGGGGGGGCAACAGCGGGAAGGCTCCTAGTGTCCTGGCCCCACTGCTGGACCTCCTGAGGGCACCTGGTATTTTTGGCCACTGAATGACACAAAGTGTTGGACTGGATGGGCCATTGGCCTGATCCAACATTGGCTTCTCTTATGTTCTTGCGTTCTTATCCACTTTTATTGCAGAATTCCATATATGAACATGTTTTTTTGTTAAAGATCTCTCTTGTTTTTTTGGTGAAATGTATTTTACCAAACAATTTAGGCTGTGATCCAACGTGGAGGAATCTGGAGAAGAAGACACCCAGAGCCGTCGCAAAAGACGCTGGATGTAAAGCAGCATCCAAGGAGATCCGTAAAATCGAGCGCCGTTTTGCCAAATATTCCAAGCCGAAACCCGGGGTGAAGAACCCCAACCCGCCCTGGGCTGTCCGGCTACATGACTGGTCTGTGGAGCACCAAGCAAGCCTCCGGGAGGCCTTTGAGGTGGTGGACCGAGGCGACGGCACCGTCTCCAAGGAAGACTTCCTTGCCATCATCGAGGAGAGGTGTCCCTTTGTGGATACGGAGCAGCTCCCCACTGTGGCTCACGCTCACGAGAAGACCCGTGCCGGGGGAGTGAACATCGAGGAGTTTCTGAGGGGCAACCGGTACTTGCAGAAAGCGTTCCTCCTCTCGTCTTACGGCCCCAAGAAGAAGAAGGGGAAGAAGGCGAAGGGCAAGAAGGCCAAGTTTGCCATCCCCTTGCCCATCTGTGTCATCCCAGAGGCGTCTCGGCCGCGGCGCCCCGATGGCGGGCCCCCCGACTACATGGTCCAGACTTACCAGAACATCACCGACTGCAGCCGCTTCAACCGCGACCACCCGCCCGAGCATCCCATACAGGACGATTCCTGGTGGTACGTTGATGACCCGATGAAAAACTTCTCCAACATCAACTACCTCACTAAGGCTGGAGACCTCTCGTCCCTGAAGAAAGCGTTTGAGTCGGGGGTCCCGGTGGACGTGAGGGACCATTTCTACAAGACACCGTTGATGGCCGCCTGTGCGAGCGGCAATATGGAAGCCGTGCAGTTCCTTTTAGAGAAAGGGTAAGTCGGCATTCTGGTTGGGGGGATCGGCATCGTGCGAGGCATTTCCCCCTGGCCAAGAGACATCCCCTTGCGTTGAGGAGAAGCGGCTGCATATTTAGTACAAGGCCTGGCAGGTTTAGCTGGGGGGGCCACAGTGTCTGTCTGTCACCTGTTTATGCTGCTTTTCCTGCAAACACCTTGGGGCAGCTTTTACGGCTCTCGCCCATCTTCCGCTGTATTCTTGCACCAATCCTGTGAGACAGGTCAGGGAGGGAGGGAGGGAGGGAGGGAGAGAGGGAGAGAGAGAGACAGACAGTGGACCATAGTGGTAATGGCAAATTCACACACACTGAATAACATGCTTTCTGTCCCCTTCCAATGCACTTTAGTGATCATCTGCAAGTGGATTTTGCTGTTTCACACAGTAAAATCCGGAGCTGCGGTGGCTCATGTGGTTAAGATGCTGAACTGCAGGCTGTGGAAGGTCAGTAGTTCAGCAGTTCGAGACCCGAGTTGTCGCATGATGGAGTGAGCTCCCGTCTGTAGTTCCAGCTCCTGCCAACCTAGCAGTTCGAAAGCAAGAAATTGCAAGTAGATAAATAGGTACCACTTCGGTGGGAAGGTAACAGCGTTCCGTGTGTCTTGGTGTTTACTCATGCCGGCCACATGACCACAGCGATGTCTTCGGACAATGCTGGCTCTTTGGCTTTGAAACGGAGATGAGCACCACATCCCTCGAGTCGGATTCGACTGGCTTTCGAGCAAGGGAGCCTTTACCTTTACCTTTACAATAAAATCCATTGGCAAAGTGCACTTAAAGTAGACAGAAAGTACATTACTCAGCATGTGTGAAAGTGCCCAAAGTTTATGGCTCAACAGAGACTTGAACCCAGAGTTCCCAGGTCCTAATCCAGCATCTGAGCTACTGTACCACACTGGCTCAGAGATGTGAAGCTCACTGGGGGACTTTGTGCAAGTTGCGGTGTCTTGCCCTGTCCTCTAGGGCTCTGTATGCCAGTTTCCCGGACTTCATTAGTCCCACCACTCCGCTACACTGGTTCGCCAGGTGGGACAGCAGCAGCTGCCTCTATTGCATGTGTGTGTGTGTTGGGTCTGCTGGGTAGTCTTTATCATTTTTATGGAGGTTTTGAAGTGCATCCCTGGTGGGAAGGCATGTGAACTCCGCTGCATGAGCCTCCGCCCTCCTCCGCCTGACGGGGATGGCTTCCCGTCTCAGAGCCACGGGAGAAAATCCAGTGGCTTCCGAATGGCAAGCGGTGGTTTGACTGACAGTACGATGTTCCTGTTTTAAACATTTTTCATGGTGTTGCTGTAGGAGTTAGATCAAGATGGGTCACTGTGTAAGCCTGTAGCAGGAGAAAAGAGCCAGAGTCCGGGAGCACCTGAAAGACGAAAACAATTTGTGGCAGGGGAGGAGCTCTCGTGAGTCCCTGCTCACTTCTTCAGATAGATCAAGATGGGGTGGCCGTGTTAGTCTGTCTGCAGCAGGAGAAAAGAGCAGGAGTCCCAGGAGCACCTGAAAGACTAACACAGGCCCCGGTCACACAGGAGGATTTGCCCCGCGAAACAGATGGGTTGAGGGTGGATTAAACCAGCGTGATCAGATGCCAACATCTGGCAAGCGTTGCGCCCCCGCCCCCAACCCGTCCCTTCCTGCCGAAGATGCGGATCTAAAAGAGACTAGTGAAAGGGCACTACCAACTGGATGATGCTCAGCAACAGCGGCCGTGGGATTGCCGATGCGCGGTTATCCCATGGTATGTGTGGTAATGGCAAACTGTGCATACGCACAACTGCTGCGGCTGGCCCTCCTTACCCTTCTTAGAGTCGCTTCCCCTGCAGCATGGGATTGCGGCTGCCGGCAGAAGTGCAGAGCCTCGGGGGACCTGTCTGATCCCGCTGCTGCGCTTCTGTTTGTTGTGGCTCTAAAAAGCCGCACTTCTCCCGCGGCTGTTCCTGCTCGTGTGACCGTGGCCACAATCTGTGGCAGGGGAGGAGCTTTCCTGAGTCCCGGCTCACTTCTTCAGATACAGCTAGAATGGGAGTCCATCTGTCCTTGTATCTTGGAGAGTAGAGCGATTTCACATCCAAGGTATGAGGCCAGATGGGTTGACATTCTAACTGTGTCTGAAGAAGCGAGCAGGGACTCACGAAAGCTCCTCCCCTGCCACAAATTGTGTTAGTCTTCAAGGTGCCACTGGACTCTTGCTCTTTTCTGCTGCTGTAGGAGTCGTAGACCAAATTGCAGTACTGCCATTTTTTAAATACATAAGAACCGGCTTTTCTTGGTGATTTTGGGTGGACTGGCAGAATTCACCTTGGGCACCAACAGGGATGAGGCTTCCCTCCCTCCAGGGGGCGGGCTCTCGTCACTCATTCCTGGCCCCTGGTTTCTGCTTGAATCAGGGTGTTATGTCCGTTGACTGCCACCAGGCGCCAGCGACTCATACCTGAGCTTGGTTAGCAGAGACAACAGGGACTGGGATCCTGAAACCTCTAGTGGTCACCAATGGGAACTTTGGCGGGAAGTTTAAACCCTCCAATGGGACCTGGGGGTGGGCCAAGGGGAATGCCTATAGTTGGCCGACCGGCCGGTATTTCTGTGTTACGTTGTGTACTGGTAAACATGTGCTGAGTATCACTTTGTTTCCTGATCATTCGGTGCGTCGAACCCACTACACAACAGAGCGGCAGGAGAAAACAGGGAGGGGGAAACGGCACTGGGCAGGTAGTTGGGTGAAACAGCCACTGCAAGTGGACCAGGTGAACAGTGAGCCTCGCTGGGGGGCAGCAGGCCTCATGCCTGGGGTGGAAGTAAACGCGGCTCTTTCTGGGCTGTGGTCACACACGAGAAACAATCCATTTTCAATCCGCTTTCAGTGCACTTTCCAACTGGATTTTCACTGTGTGAACAGGCCAAATCCAGTTGGAAAGTGCATTGAAAGTGGACTGAGAGCGGATTATTTTGTGTGTGTGACCGCATCCTTGGTTGACCTGAAATAGAACCGTGGCTCCCTGTGAGTGACTGGCAGAGCCACATTAGGGCTTTTGTGAGCCCTTCACACGGCTGTTGTCTTTGTGGGCCCCTCTGACCCAGGGGTCACTTTGTAGAAAAAGAGGTGAAGGAGCTCATTAGCATAACTCATTAGCATAACTCATTTGCATAGGCCACACCCCCTGACATCACTGGAAGTGTGTCAGAAGGCAACACCCACCGCTCAGGCTCCACTGTATTGTTTAGGATTGCTAGCTATTTGGGGGGGGGGGACATGCAGATCTGTCCTCGCAGAGGAGGGAGAACTTGTGCCTGAATAAAACTTGGTCTTAAAGGTGCCACTGGACTGTTTTGGGCTGGGGGGGGGGCTCTGCAACTTACCTGGCTGCTTCTTGCTCTTTTTACCTGGCTGCTTCTTGCTTTGACTGAGGGCTGCTGGGAGCAGGGGGTGGGGCTTGTTGCATGTGCCCGCCCCCTGGGCTCTTTACTGCCTGAGCTCTGCTCCTTTGAGCTCCTGCAGGAAATGACCTCTGACAACGCCAATATTAAAAATTATGAGATAACTTTTAATACTTCAACATTTCCCCCCCCTGTCGTAGGCAACATTTAACAGGTTTCTGTGGGGCCTAAAGTTTTATCCTTTTCTGATGTGAGAATAGAAAATTAAAACGTTTTCCTTCGAACCTAAAAGTTCCAGTTCCCCCCTTCTGATTTTAATAGAAATCAAAGCATTTTTGTGGGCCCCTAGAGTATTGTGGGCTCTAAGCCCTGTGCCTACTGGATCATTTGGCCCAGCTGACCAGCACTGACTGGAAGCCATGCCTGTCTCAGAGCCAGTGAAGGAATTCCACGCAAGTGTCCCAACAGCACATTTCCCATTCACAAATGAATTCCAGATGAAGAGCCAGTTTGGTGTGGTGGTTAAGTGCTCAAACTCTTATCTGGGAGAACTGGGTTTGATTCCCCATTCCTCCACTTGCACCTGGCTGGATGACCTTGGGCAAACCGTAGTTCTGATAAGAGCTGTTCTTGGAAAAAGAGCAGTTTCTGTCAAGAGTTCTCTCAGCCCCACCTACCTCACAGGGTATCTGTCTGTTGTGGGGAGGGGAAGGGAAAGGAGTTTGTAAGCCGCTCTGAGACTCCTTTGGGTTGTGACGGGCGGGGTATAAATCCAATCTCTTCTCTTCTTCTTCCTTCTCTGTAGGGCCAGTGTGAATGCAACGGACAATTTCATGTGGACCCCTCTCCACCACGCATGCCACGCCGGTCAGCAGGATATCGCTGAACTCCTCGTTAAATCTGGAGCAAATATAGATGCCCTCACAATCAACAGCGGCACCCCGCTCATGAGAGGCATCGAGAGCTCCCGTCTGGACACGGTGCAGTACTTAATCAACAGCGGTGCTAAAGTTCAGCTGGCAAACAGACGAGGTGAGTGTCGCGGCAGTGCTAACCGTGAGCGGAGCTAACACAGCCCTCCTCTGCCACATTGCCCCCACATATCTATGGGCACTTATCTTAGGAACATCAAAAAAGCCCTGCTGGATCTGCCCAATGGTCCATCTAGTCCAGCATCCCATCTCACACAGGGGCCAACCAGTTCCTCTGGAGGGCCAACAACAGGGCACAGAGGCCGAGGCCTTCCCCCTGATAAGGACCTCAGAAGAGCCCTGCTGGATTACACCAACTAGCCCAGCCTCCGAACAGATAAAAGGAAGTACTTCTTCACCCAAAGAGTGATTAACACGTGGAATTCACTGCCACAGGAAGTGGTGGTGGCGGCTACAAGCATGGACAGCTTCAAGAGGGAATTGGATAACCATATGGAGCAGAGGTCCATCAGTGGCTATTAGCCACGAGGCAGAGATAGGAACTCTTGGTCTGGGGCAAGGGATGCACGGTATTCTTGGTGCTTGGGGGGGGGAGTGGGAACAGTGGAAGGGGGCTTCTAGTGACCTGGCCCCACTGCTGGACCTCCTGATGGCACCTGGTATTTTTGGCCACTGTGTGACACAGTGTTGGACTAGATGGGCCATTATGTTCTTAACCGGAAGCTTGCACACATCTTCAAGGAAAAACAAGATCCAGAGAAGGGGGGGGGACGACACTTATCATCACCCTTTGAGGGGGGAGCAAAAGGCACACTTTAGCAGAGAGTGTCCCGGTAGGAGCTCCTGGCTTCCCGGCACGTAACCCCACCTGCCTTCTTGCCACCAGGTCAGAACACGCTGGAGATCGCCCGGGCCTACGCTGACAACCGTTTAGTCCACTTTGTGCAAGATACGATGGACCGCTTGCCCCACCCGCCCGAGAACAAGATGGATAAGCAGAAAGGGAAGAAAGGTGCCAAGCCTAAAGCACCTGCCCCGCCACCCAAGCCCAAGCCCCCCGACTCTGCTGCGAAGGAGCCAGGGAAGGAGGAGGTAAGGAGCACCCAGTTGGCCAGGCCAGCACCTCCGGGAGCCCATGAACCGAACCCTCCACCGACCCTCTCTCGCCAGGTCTCGGAAGCTCAGCAGGGCTGGCCCTGGCTCGTGTCTGGAAGGGCGGCCTCCAAGGCGTAGGGACCCCTGAAACATCTCTTGCCTTAGAAAACAAGCCTGGCTTGCCACCTAGTCGTGCAAAATGCCGAAAGAGCTAGAACTTTTGGCTGCCAGACAATCTTAGGATCTCCTGGCTGTTCTATACACAGACCCATATGATTGTTAATTCCCGAGACTGGCTGAAACTCTGCGCTGAAGAATGACTACCGGTCGGCAATGCTCCCTCTAAGCTGTGGAGTCCTGTGAGCAAAAATTCTACTTTGTGAGCTCCTGGCATCAAAGTTGTGAGCGAGCGATTTGGCTCCTGCATAAATTAGTTTGCTCTGGAGCCCCGTCCTTCCCGGGCTAAGACAAAAATGTGTGAGCCGGAGGCTAAAAAACTCTGAGCTAGCTCACACTAACTCAGCTTAGAGGGAACAATGCCAGTCGGCCTGCGCAGGGAGGCAAAGGGCTGGTTGGCAGGCAGGGCACTTCCCCTGGGAGCCCTCCTCTTCCCTAGACTCCATACGTGGAGAGCCAGTTTTAGGGCCTGCTTTTGGAGAGGGGCTGGAGCTCTGTGGGTGGGAGAGCCCCTGCTCTCAAGTCCGAGCCCTGGCAGTTCCACATTGAAGCCGGGCGAGGGAAAAGGCAGTTCTTCTGTGTTTAGCATGAGAAAACCATTCCTGAGTCAGCACAAAATAAGGAATCAGTCATGTCTGTGCAAATCTACTTGTCTGGGATGGATCATCGCTTTTGCCAAATTCGGAATGTTTGGGGGAAGACCGGCTTGACTGCTGGGGGCCATTGGCAGTTGAGGAACGGGCATAAACGGTGCAGAGAGCCATTTTGGCGCAGTGGTTAAGAACGCAGACTCTAATCTGGGACAACCGGGTTTGATTCCCCACTCCTCCACTTGCAGCTGCTGGAGTGACCTTGGATCAGTCACAAGTCCTCTCAGAGCTGTTCTCTCAAGGGCAGATCTCAAGAGAGCTCTCTCAGCCCCACCTCCCTCACAGCCAATGCTCCCTCTAAGCTGTGGAGTCCTGTGAGCAAAAATTCTACTTTATGAGCTACTGGCATTAAAGTTGTGAGCCAGCGATTTGGCTGCTGCATGAATTAGTTTGCTTTGGAGCCCTCCTTCTTGAGCAAAGACAAAAATCTGTGAGCCGGGGGCTAAAATACTGTGAGTTAAAAAAACTGTGAACTAGCTCACACTAACTCAGCTTAGACGGAACACTGGTCACAGGGTGTCTGTTGTGGGGAGGGGAAGGGAAAGGAGTTTGTCAGCTGCTCTGAGACACCTTTGGGTAGTGAAGGGCGGGGTAGAAATCCAATCTCCTCCTCCTCCTCCTCTTCTAAATAGTTCGACAATATGTCAATTTCTGCTGCCTCAAATATTTTTGTCACAAGGTCGCGTTCCGTTCTGTTTGGTGATGCATTTCTGATCAACACGTGCAACCGATAAATGCAGGCATGTTCATCCTGCGTGTCACGTCGTGACACGGTGATACGTCTCTTTCAGGCCCCACCACAGCCAGAGCCTGTCGTGGAGAAATCTCTCTTTGAAGAGAAGAAGGAAACCCTCAGGGACAACGTCGTCCACCTGAACTCATTGATAACTCGAGGAGCTACCAGGAAAGTCAATATCACTTTCACACCGAAGAGAGTAAGTGCTCCGGGGGAGGGGACCCCTCTCTTTAATTTGCACTGAAATGCCATGTCCCTTGCTTTTGTGGGCGACTCAGCATTTCAGCCCCTTGTGGGAGGGGCCGTGGCTCAGTGGCAGAGCATCTGCTTGGCGTGCAGAAGGTATCAGGATCAATCCCCGGAGAGCACTGCATTCTGGGTCTCGAGCACAGACGGCTTCAGGAGGGAACTGGATAAACATATGGAGCAGAGGTCCATCAGTGGCTATTAGCCACAAGGTATAGATAGGAACTCTCAGTTTGGGGGCAAGGGATGCTCTGTATTCTTGGTGCTTGGGGGGGTCAACAGTGGGAGGGCTCCTAGTGTCCTGGCCCCACTGCTGGACCTCCTGATGGCACCTGGTATTTCTGGCCACTGTGAGACACAGAGTGTTGGACTGGATGGGCCACTGGCCTGATCCAACACTGGCTTCTCTTATGTTCTTATGTTGATACCTTGATTTACCTAGTGTGACAAGAATGTCAGGGTGAAAAAGTGAAGTTACATATATTTTCTTTATTATTTAAGAGTGGTCAATGAAATAAATCCTGTCACAGTGTAATCTCTGGATCGATTCTCTCCCCTTCCCCCAGACATGGAGTCCAGAAGCATCGACCAAAGACCTTCTCAGGAAGAGGGAGCTGCGTCGGCAGCGTTTTACTTACGAGGTGGACTTTGAGGACTTCATGATGCCCTTTAAGAGGAATTTCATGCAGAAGGCTCGTAACCTGAACCAGGCTTTGGCCTTACGCTGATCACGGCGTGATTTCTGCATGGAAAGAAATGAGACGAGCCTGAGAAGAGATGTCTCCTAGAAGGCCTAATCATGTTGCTTCTGATTGTGATGAACTTCTACGTTCGTTTTTTGGCTATGCAATTTCAATATGGTGCCTGGTGGAAATCTCAAATGTGGGTGGAGCTTTGATTTCCTGACACTTTGGAAATGGGTCCAGCTTTCCCCCTGAGCAATGAGATTGAAAGTGAATGGCTGGGGGCCACGGGGAATTTACTTTTGATGAATTCCATCAGCAGAGCGTGAATTCCTTGCTCCCCCTTCATGCCACAATCCCGAATACCCTGTGAAATGGTGTGCCGGGGAGCTGGGGGATCCCCCAAGGAACATCATGGTGGGGGGAGTCATAGGTCTGGCCCCCCAAGGGGGAGTTGGCCAACAATGCCCCTCTTCGTCCAGCAGAAGTCCTTTGTGGGAGCAAACCCAATATATATTGGATGAAGCCTGCAATGTAGGTCATCCACATTAGATGGAAATTTCCTTTTGTTACCCTATCCTGGTCAGCTAGATCCTGATCTCTCTCATTGCTTGGAAAGTAGACCGAACCCCGCTGCTGGAACTGGAAGGCCAATTATTTCCAGGTGCTATAAATATCCGTCGTACTGAGCCGGGTGGCTCTGAATCTAGGTCAGACCCAGAGTTGGTGCAAGGCCACCGAAATTCCCTTGGGAAGGACGTCCAGCTGCCGCTGATGGCGCGTGCCGTTTTGTTTTGTTTCCCCCCACGTGGGTGCATCTGGGGCAGGGAGCACTCTTTGGGTTCAACATAAATAGGGACATCGTGCAGCAACGAAGTGCTTTGTGATTTCTGCAGGTTTGGTCTGTGGCTCTGCATCAAGGTATTACTAAAAACACCTGTGGGAAATTACTGTTTATCCAAGAGTGCAGGTGGCAATTGCTGCTTTTAAAACAACTGCTGCTTTTAAAACAACTGGTATGAAAATGTATACAGATGTGTGCTAGATGCCCACAGAGTAATACAATGACAGAAGAGACTAGATTAAAGCCATAACATCATTTAGTGTCTGGTAATGAAAAACAACCACTTATTCCATCACAGAAAAAAATACAAAGGTCGATAAGATTTCACACAGCCGTCTGCTCCAGACTCTCTCAGTCTATATCCTTCTAACAGTCTTGTGTTCTCAAAAGCAGTCTGCTCCAAATTCAATATCTCTTTCAACACTTATTCCGGATATTTAAGTGTTTCAGACCTTTGGTCTTTCCTCAGGAACCAATCTATAAATACAGAATTCCAGTGATATTACATTGAAATTACATTATATTACATTGGTTTATCAGTCTCTATAAAATAAAGTGAGTATAAAAGTTGATAAGTAAATCCATTTTACCCTATATAGGAGTCTCACATTCTATGTTACCTTCAGGTTGACCCGTTCATTGATACTAAAAATACATTAACAATAGTCACTATAACATTCATGGTTGGACCCACACCTATTTACATTACATTACACATTCAATTTATATACTGCTTCTTCCCAAGGGCTCAGAGCGGTTTACAGAGACATTTAAACCACCTAACTAGGGCCACAGTGCAAGGGGAAGGGTGAAAGCCTACCAGGCACCTAAGCAGCAGTGATCTTCCTCTGTTGTTCTTTTCTCCGTGGTGGGTTCTTCCAGGCGTCGGTGTCTCGGCGAAGGTCTTCCTTTTTTTCACAGCGACTCCTTCTGGAGGGGGCCTCACGGTGCACGGCTGTGCAACGACTGCAGCAGTTGGTCTCCGTCCTATTGGCTCCGACCATGCCACGTCGTCGCGTTGCCGTGTCTCCTGGACCAATCTCCACCCGGTTGCTCGCTGCTTTGCCACCGGACCGCCGCCATGTTCGTTGGATCGCCGCT